AATGAGTGTTATTTGCAGCTGGATATGGTAAATAGCCATGGCATGCAGAAATTCCCTTTTATGACCACTGCCTCAGAATCACACACTATCCTACTTCTTAAGTTTCTAAGTATTAAAACATTTGATTTCGCAGAGAACCTGCAAGTTTCAAACCAATTTGAAGCTGGAGGAAAGGCACTGTTGTTTTGTTTTCAGGATGAAGAGGTCTCTGTGTAACATTATTTCTGCACAGACCCATACATAGCCAGTCGACAGTCCACTCATTTCTTTTTTGGCTCTAGGTAAAAATTTCAGGTGCAACTGTGATGCTTACTCAGCTTTGCATATGCCAGTCATGCTGCAGGAGTTTGGGTTTTTTTCTGCTAAACCTGTGCCAAGGACACCATCTCTCTATCTTGCATCCCACCAGCTTTTCAGTAATGTTGACATCATACTGTTAATGAACAGAGTCAAAAACCCCAAAAAATATATAGTTATATTGATTCCAACCAAGATATCATCCAGCCAAACATCCTCCCTCCTAACACTATTGGGGATGTTTGGGAATGGTAAGGGAAGGGCAAGTGTAGGACAAATTTATATGACAATTCCCTCTAATGCTTCTCTATTCTCCAACTATTTATATTTCAGGGTCTTCCTGAACAAGCTGTAGTCTCTATGTTCTCAATAATCCCCAGTGAATTTTACTTGGCATTTGAACTGGTCCAGTGGTAAATATGATAGGTACAGACAAAATCTATTAGAAAATATGAAGGCTCTGCTGTATGCTTGCCATTTGCTCTTTCCTTTGAAAAGGCCCTACCCTGGTATTTCACAAATGTAAACAAAAAAGACATGATTGTATTCTGAAGCACAGTCTCCATTATGTTATTTATATTGCTTATGTCATAGTTCTGATCAGTTGCTGTACAAATCAATCTTTGTATGTCACCTTACAAACAAATTGCAGCAGCCTATTGGACAGCAGTCATGAAAAGGCATGAAGACAAAATAAATTTAAACTCAGAAAATGCAGCAGAGGCTTAAAAAAGAGGACTTAAATAGATCAAAATGCACTAAGTTTTTGATTTTTTTCAGATTTCCCAGTGATTAATTTCTTGTTGTGACATCTTGGCTGTTTAATGTTTCTTACTAAGTTCGGAATTTTTTTTGTCTGAGGGCTGTTCCTCAAAAATGAAACATTTTGTTTTTAAGAGAACCTGTGAAGGGCAGAAGTTGAAGCAAAAGTACTTCATTTACAAAGAAAAGTATGTTTCATTTCAAGATATGCTTTCAGAATTGATTGTAGTACCTAGTAAAATTAATGATAGAATCAAGTTTAATTTTTCATTATATTTTCCCTTCTTAAATAGAAAAGAAATCAAATACAATTGATTGAATTTCTGATTTTATTTAAATCTGAGAGTCAGTGAAGTTTACCAGTAGCAAAATGTATTTGTAAGTTTTGATGCTATTTTGAGCCAGTAATATAATACCAGATTTCACCAAGGCAACCTCATTCCACTGGGAAAGAGTCCCCCAACTTGGGGCTTGGAAAGGAGGGAGAGAGAGAGGGGAAAAGGCACAAACCAGCAGAGTAATATTCACAGTTGAAATTCAGGCTTTCAGACAGCTATGAAATTGATTTTGTATGTATTAGGCCCATGGGGCCAAAATATGAAGATAAAGAATGGACTTTTCCTGCAGTGATGTAGTATTGGATATTGCCATGTGCAAAATGTCAAAGGGAAGTTGTGTAATTTATTTTTTTAAATAATTTTAAAAGAATGACAAAGTAGGTCATATAAATTTGAAAATGAAAATTACTGCCAGATTGAAGTTATCTTGGTCATTTTATTTATCTCTAAGGGTGAAATCATAGTTCTCAGATAACAATTTGCAATCTTTAACATAATGGTGTGGGGGTTTTCTCCATTGCCTTTTTTTCTTCCTAAATCTATGTATGTTAAATTGAAGTGCTGTGATTGGGAAAATATGATTTTTATCCTGACCATGGTTACATTATTGTTTTAATTCAGATCAAGAGTGTATTTCCACAGAAAACCTCAGTACTGTCGCCACTCCTTGCACTTTGTTTCACGTTGCAGAGAGTTTCCTACAGCTTGGGCTCTTCCAGGTGAGCTTCAGCTGGAAGATGTCCTGCCCCTTATGTCCATAAGAAGTCATTCATTCAGCCCATGGACCAGGCAATAGCTTGGTCATGGTAAAATAAAGGACATGAACTATGTACAGTGGAGAGGCAGTCCACCCATTTCTTTAGGCTGACTCTTGAAGGTCTGCCAGCCATACTGGGGATGTGTAGGCATGGCCTCCAACCACTAGACAAGGCTGCAGCTGAGCAAAATTAAACTCTTTGGGTGGATTTTATGGATATTTTTTCTTCTACTTGTCCCAGTGGGTCTCTGCATAACATTTTAGTAGTAATGGGGAAATATCACCTCTAGTATGTTGGGGCTTGGTATCACAGTAAGATTCTTGTAGCATATGGGGAAACCAACCATAAAGATAAAGCTAGGGATTTCTTTTTGTCTAAGTGTGATCTAAGTGTAGTAAGTATGTAAGTATTCACTGTGTTATCAAAACAGTGCAAGTGACAGCATTTGGCTTTTGAGTAGCATTTTTAAAGGTTTTAGAAAAGGAAAATTCCCGGCAATTTCCATTTGCAATCTTTTTCTCCTTGACGATTTCTATCTAGTAGTCTAAAACGAAAGAATTTTACTTGAATGCTTTCCTTCACAGAGTCAGAGAAAAATAACAGTTATTTCAGGAACTTCAGTTTAAAGAAGCATTTTTTTTTTCTCTTCACTGAAGCAATATAGAAAAAATGCCAAAAAACCCTTAGTGTTGTGTATATCTGGACAAATAGTTACTATTTGCCTGAATTTCTTCAAATAGCTTTGAAAAAATATTTTGATCTGGTACTCAGAGCACGAAAGAAAATATATCCTTGGCAAGAAAAGACAGATTTATGAATTCAGTTTGTGTAATGTGAAGCTGACTCTTTGCCATGGTGATTAGTTTTTAAATTAAGAAAATTTGTTCTTGCAATTAATGAGAATCAGCAGACAACTGTGGAAACAGAAAAAAAAATACTTCATCTTTTGAACATTAGATATTCATTGACTGCAGCTTTACCAAGTTCACCTTTTAGAACATTTGGTAAGAATTCAAAATTAAGAAGTTCAAACAGCTTTAGTTTGATGCTGCTAGTAGAACTAAAACTGGTTTAGGCTCTGAATATTAATTACCATCCTGCTTTAAAGGTTACAACACTTCCTTTATCCAATGGATGTCATAGTTCTGATTGAATAAAGCCTTAATTATAGAGTATTATAGAATATTGCAGTGAGCTACAGCAACAAAGGCAGCAAGTGGATTATTCTTTCTTTGACAGGCTTATAAAGATAATAAAGGCATGTGAAAAAAAAGAAAAACACATCTGTTAAAAAAATAAATTGAGACAATTATGGATTAAGAGTGTTTATTTTTTCTCCATTTTCACAGAAGAGAAAAAAGGTTACTGCCATTCTTACGACTGTGCTTTCTATTAGTAGAGGCTTTTTAAATGAAAAAGCTTTATCATGTTACCTAGCAATATGGATGTGATTTGAATTCTGCTTCCTCCATTATGTGAGCACCTTCCTTCATGTGTATTTTCATTTTTCCTATAAACAAAAAAATTATTACAGCCAATGCAAAGAGATCTGTTCCCCTTTACCAAAGCCTGGGAAATGTACTGCAAAGTATTTTTTCCCCTAGGGACCTAGGACTCACCTTCCAGTCAGGAGCATGGAGGCTCACATGGTTTATGATAACAGACTCTTTCATTTCCAACTGCACCAGATCATAAATCTTCTATGTCCTGGGTCCCCCTTCTAGCAAATATTTCTCAACTGATAATTAGCTGGAAAAAACTTGCCAAGTGATTTCCTTGTTTTGTCTTTGACAGCTGTCACTGGTGCCTAAATCAGTAATGTCCATCTGAAAACTTCCATATGCTGTAAGGTATTTCTAATAGACTTCTGACTTTGCAGTTGTCTAACAGGAAAAGTTGTCTAACAGAAAGGGGAGTTAAAGAGAGGACTGTGAGTACACAACTCAATGTGGTAATTTGGACATAGCACAGGTCTTAACTGTGAATGATAAGCAGCAGGGATAACTGCAATGTTTCACCTTAGCTGGTTTCAAAAAACCAAAATTAATCTCAATCCTAATCTTATGGTCATTTTTTTCACAGTTGCAAGACAAGCAGCAAACATGCCATGTTTTTTTTCTAGAATCTGATAACCACAGCACAGGAACAAAAAACAGCAGCACGAGTTTTCCTGCAATTTCCAAAGAGAAAGACAAGACCTGATTTGTTCAGATAAAGTCTTCCCACCAAAGGCTATGTTGTCATGGATTTACTTGCTTTCTTCCTAATAAATATCCTCTGTGAAACTGAAATGTAATTTTTTTTCTCCTAGGCTTTTTCATGTTCTTTTTTTCTATTTACTTCAGCCTTCTTTTTTCTCTTTCGGAGTACATTTATCCATATCACAAGTACAGAAATTTAAAGAGCTATATAGTTTAGGACAATTTTGGTAAGAAGTATTTAAAATAATGTGTTAGAGAGTTTTGTTCTCAGTCATAGACCGGCTATTTCACATCTTTGCCCAAAAACAATTTCCTAAGATTTTGCACCCGACTCACATCTAGTTATAAAATATTTAAATTGTCTTTCTGTATTGTTGCATTGTTACAGAAACATTTCAATAAGAAAATAGTGATTCCTCATAAATGGGATCTCTGAAGTAGGGGAAAAAAAAATCAAGCAAAACAGCACACAGAATTTCTCTGCTTGCTCAGGAGACATTTAACTAGGACTGTGACCTTTAAAAAGAAGAAGAAGAAAAAAAGCACAGAACATGAAAAGATGGGAAGATGTGTTGTGAATATGTAGATACCCTGTAGCTAACTCTGTATCTGGTGAACTAAAATTATGGGGTTTTGCCTTATAGGTTTTTTAAGTACTGGGGACCAAGCTGCAAAAGGCAATTATGGATTGCTTGACCAAATCCAAGCTTTACGTTGGATTGAAGAAAATATTGGATCTTTTGGAGGAGACCCGAAGAGAGTTACTATTTTTGGATCTGGGGCAGGAGCTTCCTGTGTCAGTCTCCTGACACTTTCCCACTATTCAGAAGGTAACAATCCTCCTGGCAAAGTACTTTTTTTTCTTTTTTTTTTTTTTATGTTAAAATGTAGTGAAAGTGCCAAACAAGGTAGGCTGAATTAGAATTACATGAGGTACGTAATTTTTGTAAAATACCTAATAGATAGAATTCTGGATTTGTATTAGTCAACATAAATATGTTTATAAGAAAACTAAATGCTATCACAGCATTAACATCATGCAACAAATGCCATGGGCAATATACTTTTTCTAGCTTTATCAACAGCTTCCACTGGCTCTTCTGTCAAAGAATTTACCCTAATTAAAATGGAAAAGAGCAATGACCTTTTTGATTTTTTGTACACTCTTGGCTGCACTTCCAGCATGTATGTAGATGCTTTCCTTACGTAGTAAAAATATAACAAAGCCTTATTAAAAACTGTGTTTAACTCCCCACAAGTACTATGTGATCCCACACAGTGTTCTTCAGGTTTTGGTAAGGAAGCTGTGGGATTTCCACCCTCAGCACCTCACCCTCCAAAAAACCCAAACCTAAACTCCAAGAATGTACAGCACCAGTACTGAACTATAAATATTCCTGGTGATAAGATCAAATCTACAAAGAGTGGATAAAAGACAACACCAAAATATCTATTGTATTTATTAATCCATGTCATTTCTGTCACAATAAAACAGACAGAAATTTGTAACAGATAAGCCATAGCCAGAAGTTATAGCAGGGAGGCTGGAAAACACACCTAGTTTTGAAATACATGATTATGCTTGACAATTCATTCTATTCATACAAATAAAATTCCAGAGAATAACTGTTCAGCAAGCCATGCCAAAATCAAGCAGATGGAACCATGAAAGACTTAACTGATTAAATAATTGAAATTTTTTATTGTGTGCATTCAGATATCATCCTCAAAAGTATATCAGCAAAAACCCCACATGCTTTTCTAACTTTTCTGTCTTTTGCATTTTGAGAACATGATGGTAGGAACCATGTGCAGAAGACACCCAAGTATTTCAGTTTAAATATAAAATGGGCCATTTTAGTGGTTTTACCAGAAAAAAAACCCCACAGGTGGGGCAGATTCACCAGTATGCTCCCCTTGCCTTTCACTGCTTTAAGCAAAGAAACTCTTCAGACTGGTTTCCATCTTTCTTTTCTTCATACTCCAGTTTGTATATTAGTAAAACAACCAGAAAAAACAATTGAATATCATCTTGCTCCTTGGCAAAACAATTTAAATGTTACAATTTTAATTCAACATATAAACAGGGTTACACACGCACGCACATACACACACACAGACACACACAATTCAACATATAAGCAATGCTAACATACACACAATAATAATTTAAAAATTAAATGGTCAATTAAAAAATTCAGAATAGAAGATTCAAACATATGAAATTGCTTTTAATAGAGTAGATTTTTTCAAGTTAGTATGATGCATGGCTTTTGTGAAGGAAATGAGAATGTGTAATTTTCATTTGACCTTTAAACTACTGAAAGGCGCATTTATGAGTGTCATTTACATGGCAAAGAGCATTTGATTGCCTTTAGCTGCCAGTCCTTTAAAGAAATTTTTACAGGACTCCCAATGTGGTAAAGCCAGAGGACTTCCATCAGATACAAGAAAACTGCAGTACAGGAATGAGCTTTGTTCTTGAAACAGTAACCTGAAACCTTCGTGCTTTTTTTGTGTGTAATCAAGAGCATGGCAGATTTTAATTAGTAGCCTATTCTACATAGTATAAAAAGGGACCAGTGAGTAGGATCTATGGAAATTTATTCAAAATTTCATTGTATGCATCCTTTAGGGATTCTATAATCAAAACTTTGTTTCCTTAGTAAGAAATACTTTACATTTTTTAATATATATATATATATTTATTTTTTTTTAATATCTAATTGGATCTGTATTTAAATGATTTGCACCTGCAGGTTTGTTCCAAAAGGCAATCATACAGAGTGGAACAGCCCTGTCCAGCTGGGCAGTGAACTATCAGCCTGCCAAGTACACTCGGATATTGGCAGATAAAGTGGGCTGCGACATGCTGGATACCACTGATTTGGTTGAATGTCTGCGGAATAAGAATTACAAAGAACTCATTCAACAGACTATCACTCCAGCCACGTACCACATTGCCTTTGGGCCTGTGATAGATGGAGACGTGATTCCAGATGACCCTCAGATTCTAATGGAGCAAGGGGAATTCCTTAACTATGATATAATGCTGGGTGTGAATCAAGGGGAAGGTTTGAAATTTGTGGATGGCATTGTAGACAATGAAGATGGTGTTTCTCCCAATGATTTTGACTTTTCTGTCTCCAATTTTGTGGACAATCTCTATGGCTATCCAGAAGGGAAGGACACACTGCGAGAGACCATTAAATTCATGTACACTGACTGGGCAGACAAAGAAAATCCCGAAACAAGACGGAAGACCCTGGTTGCTCTTTTTACAGACCACCAATGGGTTGCTCCAGCTGTTGCCACGGCTGACCTGCATGCCCAGTATGGATCTCCAACATATTTCTATGCATTTTATCACCATTGCCAAAGTGAAATGAAACCCAGCTGGGCTGATTCAGCTCATGGTGATGAAGTCCCTTATGTGTTTGGGATTCCTATGATTGGTCCCACAGAACTGTTCAACTGCAACTTTTCCAAGAATGATGTCATGCTTAGTGCAGTGGTTATGACATACTGGACTAACTTTGCCAAAACTGGGTAAGTGTGACCCCTAGCATTCATTTTGTTGATAGCATACTTCTAAAATAGTCAGTATCCCATTCCAGTGGCCTCAAAATCTGATTTTGAAGTAGTTGTATAGAAATATTTGTGCTAAGGCAGGAGGTAAATGAGGCTTATTCATATTTAATAGATTTTTAATTAGTGTGTTCCCTCAAAGTATTTTCTTTCAGTAGCTCAATGAGAATAATAACACACTGTATTTTTGGTTCAAAAAATAGGACAATTACTAAGACAAAAAGCATGTCTCAGAGAAAAGGTGGTTCACTAAGATACTGAAAAATCAGAGGCAACATGTCTGCTACTTGAAGAAGGAACTGTCAGGCAGATAGCACTTATCTGCTACAAAAGAAAGGAAGTTCTTGTTTTTCAGTGACCTTCACAGGGATGAGGATTCAGGGAGGAATTAAAACAGAAAGGCAGACACTGGAAATTTTTTTTTTTCCCTCTGAGGGCTATAATGGCAATAATAAGTACTTGACTGGAATGAAGAAGAGACTCAGATATAAATTTTGCTTTGAGAAAGTTAAAAAATTAAATTAATTCTGCTTACAAAACAAAATAAAGACATCAATATTTTGATGAAATAGAGTTGTAAACACCGAGGAAATAACACTCAAAGCAGCTTAATCTGTGAAGAATATTGATAAATTCTCTTCCTATAACATTCCTTTTAACAGTATTGCAGTGCTTTACTTCAGCGGCAAGGGCTCTTTTTGTTAACCTTGAGTCTTCAGTACTGAATTAAAACAAAGATACTTGTGGCACAAAGGGGCTGTAAATCTTTCCACAGAATGTTTAATGGCAGGATTGGGCTCTGGAAACTGCAGCTTTACTGCACTGCAGTGAACAGTGTGCAGCTATATAAGAAAAACTCAGATGCCTATTGTGAAACACTCGGAGGCTTTAGCTCCCTTGTAGCCTTCCATGAATCTAAATGGTGGTTGAGAGAGAGATTCTGCAGTCCTAACAAGAACCTCAAGCATAAATTGAGTAAAAACCAATCAAATGATTCAGGTCAGTGCACAAGGAAAAAAAATTCTTTTGTTGTACTGCGTATCAGATAAGCAGGTAAAAAAGCATGCAGAAACCCTGGAGTTCAGCAACAAAAATGAATCAACTGTGTAATATTTAGAAGTATTTGGCAACAAGAAGTTTCAGTACTGGGATGGGCAAAGTTTGTGTTGAAATCTTGGTTTATGGACAGACAATGCTGCATGGTGGCCGTACCACATGGGCAGAGATGATGATACCATCAGTTTGTCTTTATTTTGGTAGATGAAGTGCTATGTATACATAGAGGACTTCTGATCCTTACAAATATACTCATTAGAGTTACTATGGTTATGAAAGATTTCCATGGTCTCGCTATTTTTTCCAATTACTTTATTACTATTCCCTGTATATTAAGAATATAATATAAATATTGTATTTTGTAAATATTGAATACAATATAAATATTGTATTTAAGCAGTTTTGAGGCTGACAGGAGCTTCTCACAGTCCCAGCTGCCACCATTACTCATAATTTCAAGCACTTTCCAGCTGTTGCTGCTTGAAAACTAATTTCAGCATGCTATACCCAGTTCTCTGGTTATAAAGCCATCGTCATACTATACCTAAAGGCAAAAACAGGTGCTTTGGGAGAGCCATTAGTAATGTCTGAAACTTCCCCATAGCTGATGAGATAGGAATGGGGTATATATCCTATTACAGGCTCACTCCCTTACAGGCAGTCTGAAAGATGTATCATTAGAAATGGCCTCTAGCGGTAAAAATTCAGTTTTCAAAGGAAAGGAAAAAAGCAATACAATGCATATTACCTTGATGGGGTCTTTTCTTTGTTTGGTTGAGCAGTGATTAATCGTTCTGCATCATACAGGAGAATACTTGGAGGCAGATAATATTTTAAGATTACATTTGTTCTGCACCTCTGGTTCCTCAAACAGAAAGGCAAAGGTTGTAGCATCTCAAGCCTAGAGCAATGGGATCTCTGGGGTAGCTGTTCTCCACTCTGCTCATTCACTTGCAATCTGGAATCTTTGTACCCACCCAGGTCCTTCAACTCTCAAGTTCAGAACTGCATTGCAGAGGGCTCTGCTTTGATTTTTTTCCCCACCCTATTTTTAATTGATAATTTCCCATCCTTATTATGATAGTACTTGTCTTGCTTTGTATTTGTACCCATGGCAACGCATAAAATTCTTTTAGGGGAAAGATTTTATTATTTCGCATTTCCCTGTAGGTAAGCTTTGAACAGTAGAACTGCAGATATATTTATTTATTTTTAATGTGTTTGAGACTTTTCCAATCTCTATGACTCTCCCACGGAGGCTGCATTCAGGTACATATTGTAAAATTAGGGCTCAGGTGGTGCATCATTCAGATGGACTTTTAATGACAGGCCATCCACTGCTAAAAAGCACATGCTGTTTAATGGGCCTACTGCCAAGGCTGGGTTTGCAGGGCAGGTCAATCTTGTAAAATCAGTAGGTGAAAGACACAGCAGAGGGCACAGTACTTTTATTGTGTTTAACTTGTAAGTTGGTTACTGAAGCTAGCAAACAGGAGGTGACAATTAAAGTGTTTAATGGCAAATAGCTTGTGCTTCAAATGAATGCCTGGAAGCTGTATTTTGCTAATCCTTCACCTATGACTTCTTTTTTTTTTAATGATGGTGATTATTATTTAGAGTTTTTCATTTGGCCTTTTCAAAACTGTTTCCAACATGCCCTAGAAATAGGGAAACAATTTATTGAAGAGTAAGTTTGAGATACTGCATTTGGGATACAAAAATGACATGAAAATGCATGTCAGCTTTGAATTCCTCAATGCACAGAAATATATGTGAGAGCTTCATTATGACGTGCACTTGCAGCTTCAGTCTGCTGCCAGTAGCGCCATCCTAACTGTAATGGTAATTTCATAGGCCAAGTTCTGTTTGTTAGGACCATGTTACCTCCTTTGCAGACACATCAGTGGGGAAGAGTGAACAATGTGAGGGGTTGTGGGCCAGTCCTTCATAGATACTCAGCCAGCTATGCTCTTGTGAGGGATTTGAAGTTTCACACAGTAGATACAAAGCCATATTCTCATTAGAGACATCTATTAGGTTTCTAAAAATTGCCCTGGTTTTCAAGAATTTTCGTTCTCTACTTTTTATCCCCATCATCCAGCTCTGTGTTGGTATTGGGAAAGATAAAGGTCTGGAGGATATATCCTTGTTTTCTTTGTATTTCAGGTAAATACTCCAGAATTATTTAGATACCATTGAATCTGAAGCACAAACACGAGTTATTAGGAATATCTGTATTTTGTATGCAGTTTGGTTCTCTAATAGAAAACCTGATTAAACTTGCAGTTATTAAAGTGTAGTTTCAAATAAATTCTCAGTCAACTCTTTTATGAGGCTTTTGCATTTCTTTTTGATGTTTTCATCTGAAGAAATAACTATGTCCAATGGCAAATCTGTGTTAGTCAAACCACAGTGTAGTTATGGTTTGTGTTCCTTACCTCTTATAAGGAGTCCTTAGCTGTTGGTCCTTAGCTGACAGGGCATGGCAACAGTGGGAACTGGGGATAATTGAGGAGAGGAGGTAAGGGAAAACATGTCTGTATAACAGCCCTTCAACCAGGAATGTCTGTGGCATTATTAGTACTGTGACAGCATGAAAAGAATCAACAGAAGAATGAAGAAAGGCCTGGTTTTCTCCCTCTTCCATTTTTTTTTTAAATCATAGAGAGAAAAGAGTACTACTGAAAGAAAATAAAACATCTAGGGGCATTTCAGAGTGTTGGAGACAAAGATGATGTAACTGTGAAGACATTTTGCTCTCTAGTGAAGATAAAGAACAAAAACTTTAAAACATTTCAAGTACATTAATGTAATAGTTCCTGAGTGATAGTCAATGCTGTGGCAGAAGTAATTAGAACACAAATGGTGTTTCACCATCTTATAAGGAATTTGGGATATGAGAAAACATAATTCACTATCCTTCCCATGAAAATATAATCAGATATGAAATACCACATTCCTTCATTTATCCTCCAGGTCAGCTACTAATCTACCTTAGGAACAGGAGTGTGTGTTGCTCCTCAGTCAACATCCATTGCAGGAATATTTACTTTATATCACCTGAGAAAAAAGTTGATGTTTTGATTTTACATCTCGTGCCCATGAGGTTGGAATTGAATGACAATATACAAAAACATATTAAGTTGTGCAAAATTAGTGCAGACTGAAAATGGGAGGAAAAACGTGGCAGGTGAAATGAGATTATTCTGCACATAAACAAAAACATACCTTAGAGAAGATATGGTCTTCTGTCATATGGAAAAAAATCAGGCATATCATGATGGGGACATTTTTTGGTGGATAAGATGTTTGAATTCTAAAAGTGGAAAAAATAAGTAATGAAATAGCAAAATAAATAACAATAATGATCAATCTTGTTATAGTAGTCGGATGAAGAAAAGAAAAAGCCTCCCTACCAACTGACAAACGGGGAAACAAGAAATCTCCTCCCTATGAGAGCCAATACTGTAAAAAGTTCAGCACTGGAAATATATTGTTCAGATTATACTGTTATAATGTTGATTGCATGTTATCATCATGATTGCAGTGGATTCCTTTAAAGGAAGGTTTTCTGGCAGTCTTTGTTATGAAATAACACACTTGAGACTCAAGAACATCTAGAAACACAAAGGAATTGGGAGTCTTAAAAGCCAAGGGAAAATTTGAAATTAAAGTAACAGATCAAGAATTTTGTTGAACAGATGATTTGATAGGAGAAATTATTGTCTGTACATCTATGTTTTATGCCAACCAATAAAACAGGAAAATGGTTTATAGTAGGATAAGCTGCCCAACTACCCCAGGAAAAAACAAGTTATAAGTTGTAACTTCATGAATTTTCGGCAGCGTACATAGCAGGATGGCCAAGGAAAGTAAAAGTTCTCTTGTTTATATCTACTGAATATTTTTGGCAAATAATCATTAGTCTATAAAACCAAGATCCAAGGCCATTATTAGATCCCTTATTTAGGACTGGACTTTGCTATTCCTGTTTCTTGTAAAAAAAACCAACATAATTTAGATATCCACTTTCCAAATTCAGACAGACTATTCAAATCACTTTATTCATTTTTTAAGTGATCAGCCCTAGACTTGATGTCAATGGCTGAGCTCTGATATCCTCAGCAAAGAAATTACTTGTCTTTAGGAATGGTTGATTTTTTCCTGGTTCTTGTTTCAAGGGACAACTTCATGCCCACACAGAGCCATGTAAACAAATATGCAAATACAAGCCCAGATTCATGTAATGTTATTTTCTCTCTTGTGTTTGGAGGAGGCGGCAGCATAATTGGCTGCTCCCAATAAATATAGTTAAAAATGACAGATGGAAGTAGAGGATGGCAGAGAGGAAAAAGGAGGCTGATATTTACTTGTTTTTCAGGCTTTTTGTAGGGAAAGGGAATCACAGGATGCAGAATGGTTGGAAGGGACCACAGTGAGAATGCTAATTTTAAAAAATGTTATTTACTAAAATAATAATGAGCTATGAGGATAATAATAATAATTTTTATAAGACCACTAAAAATTTTAAAAGTACATGTCCAGCTTGGCTGCTTTTTAAAGTGAGTTCTCAGCTTCTTCATCTTCTATTCTGTGTATCAACTGCAACTTGTTTACAAGAGCTAAATTAAGGAATCAGTTCTCTCTAGAACCATTCCCAGTCTTTTGGGATGTGAATCAGAACAGCAAGGGGGAGGACACAAGATTGTGTACCAGAACCCTTGCAGTATTTTGAGTATCTGAGAAAAAAATGTTTCGCGTTTAGATAACCTTGTTGATCCTTAATTTGCATTAGAATTTATATTATGAACCCCAAAGATTTTCAAAGTAGATCTATTGAATTGGGCCAATATCTTTGTGTTTAGATTTTCCAGATCTTTCAGTCTGTTCTTTAATAACAAAATAAATAGCTTTATTTCCTTCTTCCATGCATGTTAGAATCCCTCAAAGCAGCAGCATGCATCTGTGCCTGTACTGCTTGGAAGGGAATAATCCTTTTTTTATTTGAACTGGGATGAACAATTACCAATAAATTATCTTTTTTTTCTGAACAAGGAAGGAAGGAAGGAAGGAAGGAAGGAAGGGTAACATTTTAGAACCCCTAGTTTGTATTTTTTAAATGTTATTGAAATGAGAAGGATGAGATATATTTCAATACTAAAATAAAGTCAGCACACTAAGCCACCTCAAAAAACCCCAAACACTATAACCACAAGCATAAGTAAGCCAAAATACCAAAATATATAGAAAAATAATTATTCTTTTATCAAAAAAAAAAAGTAAGATAACTTCTTTCCAGTAAAAAAAGAATGCAGGAATCATAAGATTATTAAAGTCAAATTACTTGTCATATTTAAGAACTAAGAAATAGCTCTTTATGTACAGCAAAGGAATGCTAAACTAGGCTCTTAGATTCATGGGCATTTGAAATGGAGAAAGAAAAAATGTGCTTTAAAATCTGTAAGGATATAATTTGGTATTCCCAGAATATACATAACTGTATATTGGAAGAAAGGGAAAATATTAGAATTCTTTTCACAGGAAATAAGCGAATGCATATAAATAAGTAACAAGAGAATGTAAAGTTCTGAGTAATGCACAGGAAATAAATAATCTACTCTCAGTATAATATAACACAAAGCCACAGAAAGTTATCATTGCTAGAAAAGATGCTTGAAATTAATGTGCAACATACTATTAAACTTAGTATTGTAAAAGTAATTTTAACTTCCAATTTTTTTCTTGCTATTTATTTAAGTTTAAAATAATAAGGATATGTATACATTAACCACATCTAAATGCTCTTTGTGGCATTGGTTTGTCTTTATTCTGAACCTGTAAGAAAAAAAAAGTAGTTTACCAATTTTGTAATTATCTCTGACTTGTGAACTACACTTATCTTACTGCTACTGAAGTACTTTAAAACTGGTTATCTCGGCTAAAATATGTCTCATATCAGTTAAGGCCCATTGTCCTTTGACTTTGTAGCAATGATCACATGGAACCTTCAAATAGTCCTCTGCTAGTGGGAATGATGAAAAGATTTGCGACACAAAGGTAGTTCAAAGGTGTTTTTTCACCCAAGCAAGTATTTAAATGGAGGAGGACTAATAGCTCAATTAAAAAAACCAAGCAGAAGTGGTCCCCAGGTACATGTATTAGCCCTGCTACTTCAGGTTTTGAAGAGGTTTTTCTCCCTTGTAATATGTGCACAAGTATAATTCTGTGTGTTCAGAGGGACTTCCAATATTGCCATGGGGCTTAGACGCCCATGTTTACTACCTACAGCAGTGGAAGAAGTGGTACCTTAAATTAAAAAGTTCGTGTCAAACCTGGAGAAGGGTTGAACCTACACATTTACTATGGAAAGAGGTAGTTGGTACTTCTCTAAGATGGTATGTCTCTAAGATGCACTCCTTGGAGAATGGTATTGAATCACTTCAGATGACCTTTTGCTAACTGAAACACTATGATTTCTGCATTTTCATGTCAAAAAACTATTGTAGTATCTGAGATGCTCTGTACAGTAAGTAATTTTCTTTTGATTACTTATTAACAGCTGTTCTTCAGTTAGGGAATATTTTAATCTTCTGCTTTTAGGTTACTGTAAATATTGGATAAACTATTAACTTTAAGATTGAGAGGGTTTCGTGTTTGTTTGCTTTTGGTTTGTTGTAGGTTTTTTGTAGAAATGTTAATGACTGTAATATTGTCTGTTTTAATTTTTTTTTAGAGATCCAAACCAGCCTGTTCCACAGGACACAAAGTTCATCCACACAAAACCCAACCGCTTTGAAGAAGTAGCCTGGTCCAAATACAATCCTAAAGACCAACTTTATTTACACATTGGCCTGAAACCCCGAGTTCGTGATCACTATCGAGCAACCAAAGTTGCTTTCTGGTTGGAGCTGGTACCACACCTTCACAACCTGAATGAAATATTTCAGTATGTTTCCACCACAACTAAAGTCCCCCCTCCTGACATGACCTCATTTCCGTATGTGACCCGGCGTTCTCCTGGGAAATTATGGCCAGCCACCAAACGCCCAGCAATGACACCTGCCAACAATCCCAAACACTCGAAAGACACCCATAAAACAGCTCCAGAGGATACCACAGTTCTGATAGAAAACAAGAGGGATTACTCCACAGAGCTGAGCGTCACCATTGCTGTGGGGGCCTCCTTGCTGTTCCTCAATATTTTAGCTTTTGCTGCGTTATATTACAAGAAGGACAAGCGGCGTCATGAGACTCACAGGCGCCCCAGCCCCCAGAGGAACACCACCAACGACATAGCACACATACAAAATGAGGAGATCATGTCCTTGCAGATGAAGCAGCTAGAACATGACCACGAGTGTGAATCGCTGCAGGCCCATGACACACTGAGACTCACCTGTCCGCCTGACTACACGCTCACTTTGAGAAGGTCCCCAGATGACATCCCGCTAATGACACCCAACACCATAACCATGATTCCAAATACATTAACAGGAATGCAGCCTTTGCATACTTTCAACACTTTCAGTGGAGGACAAAACAGTACAAATTTGCCCCATGGACATTCGACCACTAGGGTATAGCTCAGCCCTTCCCCATCTACCCTCACAAGCCACTTGGAAGAAAGAAAAAAGAAAAAAAAAAAAGAAAAAAAAGAAGAGGAAAAAGTTATATACCATCCATTGAACACCTTGTCAAAATGTAAAGTAAAAATAAGTAAAAGAGAAGGACAGTCATTATTTTCTTACTGATCCTTCCCACAGAAACTCACTGATGTTAAAGATCAACTACAAACCCTGTGAAATGTGAAAAGTGTACATTGCTGTTACAATACTGCTTTAAGATCTCAGCCACTTTGATTGAAAGTTGGGGCCAGAAGAAGTGATTTAAAATGGTGTTGTTAAGTGTAACAAGCAAAGCAGAGTCTTCTGGAAGACAGAGCCAGTGACTGTACAGGTGTTTTGTTTTGGTTTTTTTTAAAATAAATAAAATTATTAAAAAGATTCTTTATGTGCCATACCATGGCCGTTGATAAAACAAAGACATCACCATGGGCTTTTACCCAGCATATGAAGCTGTAATTCAGATGGGGAAAATAGAATTTTATTATTAAAAACAAAAATGAAAAAAAAAAAGGAGGAGGACTGACTATGCAGTAAAATACGTATAGTTCTGTGCAAAGAGATGACTTGCCAGCCTGAACTATATTTAAAGAAACTTTGTAAAAAATGTACATAGCTGTGAGTTTAAAAACAAACAAAAAAGAAGCAGCTTTTATTGATGTTTTCAGTTTGAAAAGAGCTTTTAGAAAGATTGTGCATTCGATTGTGACCTATGTGTATATACATTAGTCATATGACCTCTGTTTCCTCCAAGACCAAAGGAGGAATTTCTTCTTAATTACTAGTGGTTAACAAAAACCATGAGTTTTTTCTAACATGTTTCATTTATATGAGGCTATGGTGTCATGCAGAGGATACAGTTGTCTGTGTGACCTGCGTATTTTCTCTTACAGGTTGCACTAGTGCATGTTAAAGTATTCATAGGAGATTGTTGTTCTTTTCTGAAACATTTTTTCTATAATTTAATTTTGTGTTAGCCTTTGTTAAATTCCAACACAGCAATGGATTGGAAAACAAAGAGAAAAAAAACAAAAGAAAAGAATTAAAGAATTACTATTTTAAGCTTGTTGAACTCAACCAAGAAACATCCAATAATATATATTTGGAGTCCAGTTTGTAGCTCTTGGTTATTGTGATACATTAAGAAGAGTTTTGTGCCCTGACAAAAGCAATGAAAGCCTGTGTTTTGGTCAGCCTTCTTCAAGGAAAACTAGCTCTAAACTCACCAGCAGTTGCAGTAGAATCTCAGCTGAGAAAGCACCTCCTCAGCATTGCTGAACAAAATAAAACCACAATTTGAAAGTTGGGAAATGCAGGGTTGGTTGGCTGGCTGTACTTCAAACTGTTCAGAGTGATGAGTGTGTAAAGAACTTATCAACCCAGTATCTGTTTTACGCTTGAGAGTGTACCTGTCAGAAAATTCTTATTTGCTGATTCATTGCACTCAGTCCCACAGTCAGTGAGCGTTATGGAGAGAGAAGCAGAGAAATCCTCAGCTGTTCTGCATTTGAATAAAACTGAAAATCCCAGAGAGCATCACTCTCAGGAAAGTCAAATTATTAGCTGGTTGTTCCCTTCTGCTTTTCCTTCATTAGAAAAACAGGGGCCAAGCAGAGCTATCAAAGTAACTTTGCAGTTTGATTCAAACAACTGATTTGAATGTGAAAACCCAGAATATAGTTTTTGCAGATGAAGATTGCTTTATATTTTGTCTTTGAAAGGTACTCCATCATTGAGAGATAGTAACCAAAGATCTTTGAACAAATTGGTCTGCACTTGAACCTGACTATCCCAGATGTATTTTCTATTTTAATTCACAACTAAACTGCATTGATATCATATGTCCCATAATGATTAACACAAGATGCCTTGTATCTCTTCTTGTTTTCTACACCTTTTTTTCCTAATAAAATACCTTGAAATAGTCACCTCTACAAAAAAAAAGCAAAGACAAGGTGATTCACTGAGGTCTATTCATCTGCACAACTCTTTGTTGTAGCAGGCAGTAAAGCAAATTCTGAAGGAAAGAAATACAAAGTTAATGACATGATAAAAATGCAACATGTGGCTGATATAATCTTTTATCTGCAGTAAATGCGCTATAAATCTGACCTGGGAGCTCAGGTTGGAATGTGGTGAAGCAGCAACCCCAAAGTACAACTAGTAGGAAATGGAAAATTGTTTTGTTTTTTTTCACTGATCCATCACATAATATATTAATGCTGACTCTATACCAGGCCATTTCCACCAGCTATGTAATGCCTCAGCTGAGATGCAGCAGTTTATAACTCTTAAAAAAAGGTTTGAAAAAAAAAGAAAAAAAAAAAAAAGTAAAAAAAAAAAGGTAATGATGCTTGGCATCATAATCAGTTGGGTATGTTTGTAATGTGAATTAAAGTATTTGTTTAGTACTTCCAATTGTCTTCTGCTAGCAATATGTACAGTACTGTGTCAGGCTTGTGACATTTGGGTAAAAAAAGTTCCTGTAAGTGAATGATTTTAGCTTTTAAAAGTAATTACAATCAAGTTGATTTAATAATTTGATACATCTGGACTGATGTATGATTTATAGAGGGAACAGATTTATAGGGTCTTCATAGAATTCTATAATAATGATATCAAAATATACTTTGAAACTGTAAAAGAAAAACAAAAGTACTTTCCCAGGCTTATATTCTTGTCCTTAAGAGGCACACAGGGTTCAATGGTTTCTTCTGTTATTGTTTTGCAATTTTTTGGTTTTTTTTGCCTTAAGTAATGATAGAAGATATATATGGCTGGACACATATGTATAAACTTTTCAGCAGCATTTTTAATAATAAAATATCACGGTATTTTCTAATGCTTTGTGCAAATAACTACGTGTTCATCCTTTTGTGTAGAAAGTCTTTCAGAGGTGTGTTTTCTGCCCCATCTCCATTTCATTATCTACTGTAAACAATGCCTTGATACTCAGTATAAAAATATTAAAGTAACAGAGGTTGCACTTTTAAGTTAGCATTGAGTTTTCATGGCTTTTGTAGTTCTATAAGCCTGCCAGTAAAAGGAAAGCAACTCAGACGATGAAGATTTAAAAAAATAAACTCCATATATTTATTACCTGTATACACTGCAATTCCCATTGAAGTATTGGTTTAATTGTTTTGTTAGTATTTTCTGAGGCACTGAAAGAAAAGCTTGGGTAAGCAGTTTCCCCATATTAGTGTATAGCTTAGTAGCTGAAAAATGCAAAAAATATCTTCCAAGTTAGGGATCTAATAATGCAGATAAATCTAATATGTCAAGCTCCACAAGTCAATATACTTCATTTTTATATTTTAAATTTAGATACAAAATGAGTTTTGCTGGAAAAAAATATGTAAAACTAGCAACATATGTTACACATATGCATTTAAGGTATTTACATATATTGCAAGGATGTTAATATCATTCTCCTTTCAAAGGCTGAGAAAGTAAATAATTTGTTCTTTTATGATATCAGTTTCTGTTTATCAACCAGATTTCCTTTCACTGGAAAGGTATGTAAACACTTTAGTATTTTGAACTGGGTATTGTTTTCTTTCTGTAACTATTCTGCTGAATAGAGGTACTAACAATAATATTTGATGAATTTTGAGCATATTAGTGAAAAGTATTTGCAAAAATCAAAGTCTTAATTATTCATATCAAAATTTTGATATGAAAAATCAAGCTTCTGAGATAGAAACATGCACATACTGACCTAATCAAGTAGCTTGAATTTTGAATATTGAATTTGTATATAAAGCTTTTGCAAGTAAACTGCAGATTTAGCGTTTTTCAGCAAATATGTTTAATTACAGGTACACTTCAAATTTCCACATCTTGCTCTGAGATAATTCATACACACAAAGAGGGGTTACAATTGTGTCATTTCTGTGAATTGTTCCCCTTAAATTTCTGGGTGAACTCAATAAATTTGCTTATTTTCAGCTAATCAGTTTCACATTTTGAAAAGAGAACATCTTCAGAACTTTGTTCATGCTAACTTAATATTGTGTTATTTTATTCCTTTATTGCCTGAAATATAAATATGAAGATTAGTATGTTCCTATTTTGGCTTTGCTAAGAGTATTACAATTTAATGGTATTTAATATCACATAAAAATCATATGAAATAATACCATGACAATTACGTGCTTGTCTCAGATTTGTGATTTTACATTTGTATTATTTAGTTATTGTCAACTGTTTCTCATATTTTCATCTACAGTTGTTTGGAATCATAAACCTCATCAGCTTGAATGTCTCCAGAGGCCATTAACAGCTGGTGAAAACTGGGTTTTTTATCCCACTAGAAATTATGATATTGTAAATTTAATATCATAATATTATAAATGCTTCTCAACCCATCAAATTAGCCTGAAAAGTAAGATATTAAATTAAAAACAAAGAAGGGTTTTGGAAATGTCTAAACATCTTTTTTGAGCTGTAGCATAATAAATATTTTACTTCTGGATGAAGATTTGATTCAAGCCATTTTGTGTGGTGTACCACAGTGGGTACTAAGCTCCTCACTGTGTCTTCTAAAAGTTATGTTTTAAGGAAATTATGCTTTCTTAGTCTTTTGTAGCCTACCCAAATGATTTCATCCCATTTTTATGATGTAATGAAATTCAGATCACTCAGGGATGATTTAGACACAATCCAATCACAAAGTCCAAATCAGAGAAGGAGTTTTGTCATAAATCAAGTAAACTGCAGCTCTCCTAAGAAACACTAGTAATTAAAGCCAATATGCAGTAATATCCCAACAATTCAAATATAAAATAAACACCTAATAAATAAGGTACATTCCATTGTTATCAGGGGAAAGTTTGCAAATATTTTTGCAATATCTCCATTTTCCTAACTTCATTTTCCACCCCTTCTCTACATAAAATAGCAAAACCTTTTCAGACAGTACTGTCTGAAATATTCACATACATAAATGAGGAATGAAATAGATGACCTCTTTGTTTTCTCTTCCTCTAGTGCCTTTTATCAGGGCTTCTAGGTTATCTGGGTGATTCACAGTAGTCCCATTTCATGGGCTCCAAGTTTAAATATAAGGGAAAAGCTAGACAAAGGACTGACATATATTGGCTTTGACTTAGACTACACAGCACAGTTGTATTTCTCTCCAAGAGCCAAAGATGGCACAAAAACAGAAGAGAGCTTTATATGTTTTATTTTTAAAATAATGCATTTATAGAGACCATTTTTTTCAAGATTTTAGTGTCTGATATCTTGCTTTTTGCTGTACCTGACTCAAAGTCCTCACTCATTTCATGTCTTGTCATATCTTTTGTCTCTTTTTACATCAGATACTTTCCGAGAGATGCAGATATGTTTTCATGTGTGGTTTTTTTTTTTTTTCTGTCATAACTTTGTTTTCAGACTTGTTCCATTCTGTGCTATATGACTGTGAGAGAGAATTTTCATCTGGCATTTTCCTTGCTGCTTTTAGTGTTTAAGTTCTATTGAAGGGGTATTTACATGACAATATTCGTCATCCTTGAAATGCATCGATCTCTGTGACTGCATTTTGCGCCAGCCTAACAGCTTTGCTTTGACACAGTGTATGTCTTAGTGGGAAGTGCCAGCTTGCAGCCAGCTCTCCTGTTACCCTGCAGCTTTTATTATTGTTATTATTCATTGTTGGCGTTTGTTTCTTTTCTACCTTGTTCTTTAATCAAAGTTAAATTAAGTAAGTATGTAATTCTATTCCACAGCAAGATTTCTCAAACCCTATGTTGTTCATAATTCTTGTTTAGATACACATAATTACATTGTTCCACCAAAACATAAAAACCTTTCTAAGCTATTATGTTTCCTGATTCCACCATCAGTGCAAGCTAACAGGGGGCTGGCACAGTCAGCCTTGTACGACAAGAATTCATGATATATTGCCTTCCACTTGGTGGTGACTTCTTTCACATACAAAGGAAAATAAATACAATTAACATTTTCATGCATCAAAATTCCATTACACCATGTCAAAGGTGAGCACGACCCGAGGTAGAATTCAGAGAAAATGCACTCGTTTCCTGCACTGGTGGTTATTTTTTATAGGCAACAACTTGCAGGTTGAGCTGCATGAGTGCTTTGTGCACTTCGGTCAATGGATGTCTCACTTCAGAAACTAGACTGGAATTTGAAGATTTCAGGAAATCAAGATGATATTGCAAAAGTATCTTTAATGGGGTTTCTGCTTTCAAAATGCCTACCAGCAACAGCAAAGAAACTGCAGGAAGAGTGTTAAAATAAATAAGAGTAAAACGCAGATTGTTTCTAAATGAATTTGACAGGAAGAAATATGATACTACATGATATGAAATGGCCTTAAAGTAATGTGATGGATTTCTTCTGTGTGAAGGGACAACAGAAAAAAATGAAAATTATCTCAATGGATACATTTTTACAGGGACTAGTCAAATTAAATCATTGCAGAAAATTAGACTATAATGGAATTTTGAACAGAGATTTTGTGTCATAATGGAATACCATATGGAATTAGATATGCAGAACGTAATCTACAGTGCTTATCTGGGTATTGTGAAATATAAAATTAGATCCCAAGATGCCCTACTTTAACCAGAAGACGGTGCTGCCATTGTAGATAACACAGCAAAGTGAAATGTGCACATTTCTCAGGGAATGATATAAGATAAAGTGCCAAACTCAAAAACCAGGGAAGAATGACGGTACAGGGTGCAGGTCCTGCCTGGATAACCACCCTGCATGTACGCCCAACAGAGGGGTTATGTTTCAAATCTGCTTTTTCCTTCATTTTCCTAAGTGGGAGTCCATGGAGAAAATGTCCCTGGAATATACTCTCTTCCACTAACCACTGTCCCTTGAGCCCTCAAAAATCTCCAAAAACTGATATGTTAGAGGTCCCTCTAAGCTGGAACTGGAACTGAGAAAGAAGAAATATGAACGGTTTACTTATTTGCCTTTTTTTTTTCTCTTCTTGGTGAAGGACTGTCAGAAAGAATTAGGAGAGTGATGTGCAGCTAACTTACCCCAGTACTCAGGGAAGGGCCAGCCAAGCACCTTACTCATTTTTCAGTTGACTGGGGAAAAAGCAATGGAGGTACTCAAGGAGCAGTGGTCTGTGAGGGAGTTGCTGGAGATGGGCAACAATCAGCAGCTGAGTTGATTCATGAGGCTTGAAAGTCTTTTTCACCCATTATAATGGGTTCATTAAAAAATATCTATGCCGCTCTCCAGACTGTAAATTCTGCACCATTAATACAGCAGAAAATCAGTAAGGATGTGATTAAAAATTAATCAAATAAAAATTTAATTATCAGAACTAAGGCTCCAGTATGTGTGAAAGAAGCAATACCCAGCACTGTGTTAATCCTCTCATCTGACTGCAGATCTTTCACTATGTCTCCAAATCAGACACAACAGAGATTTCTGGTAGAGGCATGAGAATAAATCATCATGTGTACATGCACAAAGGTAGAAAGTAGAATTCAATTTGCAACAGCTCCGTAAATTGCTGCTTCAATAAATAGTGAGTTTGAAGTTGCTTACCTTTTGTTGCTGAGTTTTTAGAATGTGAGGTAAGGTGTACCAAGGACACATGTAACAGCTGCTAAAAGCTCTCAGACCTGCAGCATACAGCAAAAGAAAAATGAAGACATAAGTCGTTGGAAATTTGGACAGCTGAGATGAGGTTTCTGCTAGGAACTTTGTCCTCCAGCTCCTGCTGCCTGCCCTCCATCCGGGTCTTACGTGGAATGAAGGGTTTTCTTGTGAATAACTATTTCTTCTTCTAGGAGGCTGCCGAGTAACTAGGGACTAACATAGATTGAAAACAAACATTATTACCCCTCAGGGTGGTGGTGACTTCACTGACCTCTGTAGAGCAGGTTTACACACTTCCTTGGCACACAGCAATTAATAGGTGACCAGTCAGAAACAGAGAAGTCTATTCAATACGTACCATGTGAGAAAAAACACCAACAACAAAACAGAAATGAAAATAATTCCTGTTAGTAAGATCACTGTGATATAGAAGCACTTGAGCAATTTCCAAAAATTCTTGTGAATCTGGCATATAACAAATAATTTGAAGAGTACAGGTAATGCTGGAGGAATAGGTAAACACTTTTTACTATTGCAACGACATGTGCATTTGTACTAAAGCAACTATAATTCTCCATTTTGAATTCAAAATCTGATCTCAGCTTTGTTTGTCACCGGGAATTATTTGGTTTTATGATTTTTTGGATAGAGAGAGTTGTGGAGTTTATGCACTCTGAACTTGTAGAATCCTACTTTAATCTTGCTTTCCTCAAAAACAGTAATTTACAATGGGAAAATTAATACTTTTCAGTTATCTCAATGATTGCCTGAAAGAGACTGTGTGTTTGAGCATGCAGCTTTTTACAATTGTCCAAATCTGCAATTCTGACTCTAAGTGATTAGAAATTTAGCAGTTGTTCTCAGATCAGTTTCTGCATTGCCACCTTGAAATGTTAAGTATAATAACAATATAATTTTGCAGGATACATAATTTGGGGAAAGGTTTTTGGTAGATATACCATCTCAATTGTTTTAATAAGCAATATGACGATTGATGTGAAAATATATAACATTTATAGGAACTTCTGCTAACATTTGAGTCCAGAAGTCTGCATATTTAGATATTTGGGATGTATTTCTACATCCATCTATATATGAAGATCTATTTATTACATATATATATGCTTATTATATGTTTCCTGACTGCCAGTTTTCAGTGTCAGATTATAAAAGCTATTAGCAATTACTTGCAATTCATAGAAAACTAAAAAAGAAAAAAATAATGTTTTAAAAGGATTTTGTATCTGGTCCTCTTAAAATCTTTTCTTTTCCATAGATTTACATAAGCTTTTGCTCTGAAGATCCACACACAAATACAACTGAGGGATAGATGAGAAGATAACTTGTGTATTTAAACTCACTTGGTGAAAATAACTTCCCACCTGCAAAAATTCTGTCGCAGAATGTAGACCTCAGTTGTTCTTCAGAAAAAAAGAAAAATTCCTATTCATCTGTAAAAAATGAGGTTACAGGAATGTGAGTAAAAACAAGTTATGCAGAATGGACAAAGGCGAATCAAGAGGACGTCAGGAGCTGCAGAAGAATTGTGGCTGTTGATTAATCAAGGACACATGAGGAAGAGACAGGAATGGTTTGAGGCTGGACCAACTGAACTCGAAAAAAAGTATATACCAGAAACCAGGAAAATTACCAGAAAATCCATAATACTGAGAATAAAAGTTCAGAAAAGAGTGCACATGACAAAGACACAACGCCAGACTGCCAAGCTGTGTTTACATTACTGGTTTTGTTTGGTTCAGGAATGTACTGTTAAAGGAAATATGCCAATCCCCATTTATTAAATTTCCTCACAAACGGAGCTTTGTTGTGCATTGCAAGCAGTCTTGGAACAGGTGAGATGGATTCCTTTTGCAGGCATATACTGGAAGAGGTGATCCAGAAATGCCGCCCATGCCTCCAAGCAAACCACTGGCATTTGTGGATGCAAGCCATTCTGCAACACTTCCCCACAGCCCTGGCATCAGCCCCTGTCCCTGTCCTATTTAACAGACTAGCAATTTAGCAATATGGCCTCTGGCATACAAATGGCAGTCTTTTCCCACTGCAGCAAGGCTAATTGATCCTGTTGTCCAAGTTCAGTTTATAGTGCAATGCTTCTGATTTCAATCCCAAAATGCATACTTAACTGCCAAGTTCTAAAACCATTTGTAAAACACTTGCTCATTTTTAAAATTCTGCTCACAATTATGAAAAAGGGAATGTCCCTCTCTTGACTTTGTAGATTATATTGATGAAAGGATATTTCTTTTTAAAATAAAGCAAGCACAAACTTAATACAAAAAAAAAAAAAAAATTCTGCTACTAGTGGTTTAAGGACTCTGCAATGCAATGGAAATTTAGTTTTGTCCACATAAAAAACTGAAATTATTTCAAAAATGTTTTTGTGGGAAAATATGTACCCCTGGTATTATGGTATATGTTCCTAACATTGACCTAAAATGCCAAACATTTGAAGATGTTCGGAGTGAACATATCCAACAACATTAAAAAACAAATAAAGAACCCAAAACAAACAAAAGAACTTCACAATTTTAAAGGGGTTTTATCTTTTGAATGCTCCATTTGACTTTAATCCTTTTGCACTGTAAAATCTAGGCACTGAATAACATAATTTATTTGGAAATGCTATTAGAATCACTTTGGCAATTAATTTCATTACAAAATATGGGGGAATTTATCAGGAATTTCAGTGTGATTTCATGGTTTTTCTCTTCTTATACTTTCTAAATAAATATTACAGTCCTAGGCAGTAGATTTTTCACACCACTGTGCAAAAAAGACAGACAGGTATGTTTCTGGTCTATTTTTTGTACCCGACAAAGTAAGGATTAGGTGTCAAAGCTAGGCTTTTTATTATTTAATCTTGGCTATTACAGTAAAAAGCCCCTGTATTAACTAGGAAAGGGACACAACATCCTTTTCATACTTCCATGATAGTTCTCTTATCACATCGAGAGAACTCATATCTCATCATGTACTGCATTGCCTAAATTTTGAAGTTTTCTCAATTTAAAGGCATGTAAGAACATCTCTCTTTCTTTTCACAAGTTAAATAGCAAAATATTCTTTGAACAAAAAGCCAAAACAAACAAAAAAACCCAACCCAAAATGTCTACACATTTATGGGGGACAAATCCATAGAAGGCACCCTAATCTCAGAGAAAATGAAATTTTCACCTAAAACTGAGTCTGATCCACATCACATGTGGCAGCCAGCAATATAAAGACAGGTTTTCAATGGACTTCAGGAGTGCAAATTAAGAGAATCATTTTCAAATTAGATTCTTCTTGCTGATTAAGATAGAGATTAATATTGATTAAAATAAAAGTTTGAATATGCTATTTTTAGGATACTGAAAAAATAATTTTTAAGCTAATGAATAATTTACTGAATAATTAAACTTTTAAAGGATCTGAGAATTTCCTGTACTTTTGAAACTTCAGAAGAAATAATTTCTAGGAAATCACTCATCAGTTTAAAGAATCAAACTAACACTGGATACATACAGTTACCATGTCTTACAGTCTTAGTAAAATTGCATGAATTAAAACTGAATTACACTGATACTTGGTAAAAAAACAACAACAACAACAACAACAAAAACCTGTAGTAATATAGCTTCATTGAGTTTTTAATTCAGTTGTGAATGAGGAAGGCAAAGCATCAAATTATCTTGATTAAGAGAAATGTCTTATGTTTCATTTTAGCAAATCTGTCTCTCCATGCAAGATTTTATGAATACAAGGGGTGAAAATGTGATTTACATAAAGTAAATTTAAATCAAGCAACAAAATTAAACAGATGTACCCTACTAACACCAAGCATAAATTAAAGAATAATGGGATAGAGAATGGAGAGTGTTAGGGCAGTTCTATCACTCTGGAGTTATTCAGCTGTTTAGCAGAAAAAGAAGAACAGAAAAATACAAAACGATAGTAATTCTTAGGGAGAAGAGACATCTATGGAGGAGAGAGGAGAAAGAGGTATGACACTGGGCTCTGAGAAAGAGAAGCAGAAAAGGTGAAGGACTGTGGTCTAAAGTTCGTAAATTCAGAGATAGAGATGATGTAGGAACTGAGAGGGCAAGATTGACTTGATGTTCAAGTAAAGAATTAATTTTCAATAATGGAAATCAAGTGACTAATGAACGTCTGATATTTTTTTCAGATAACTGTAAACAATTAAAATTATGTATTTGCAGAAGGTGAAAAAAATCACAATAATGGCCAGCTCTGATAGGAACAGGAAGCTGAATCTTTAAAGGCTAGAGGCTCTAAGATATACAAGTTCATGCAGAGCAGGACAAGAACTGCACTGTCTGGCTATTTTTAAGTAAATTTATATCCACAGTGGTTTTCCCTGGCACCAAGCATAAAGTGTGATCAGTAATGCACAGACTTCATCTAGAAGACCACTCTGAGTGTGCATGGTCTTCAGCAGAACAAGGTAGTAGTCCATTACACCAAGAGTAATTGAAATGGCTATGAGAATTTTTGGGAGAGAAATCAAAAATAGAAGCTAAAGTCATGGACTGCCTGTATCAATTATTTCAGAAGCAGCATTCTGTGAGCTCAGTGTTTGTGCTGAGACTTTACAATGGAAAAAAAAATAACCTCCAGTTGGGACAGGGAGCAAAGATAGAAAATAACTATGACATAAAATCTCAGAATAGGTGAAAGCAAGGTTTACATTTATGGGGTAAATAGTCATGCATCACAAAACAGAATAATGAAATAGCATAGGAGACATGATGATGGAGATAACTATTAGAAAATAGTAGATCCAAAAAGAAGAGAAAAGTAGAAATAAATAGAACAGCAGTAGATAAACCATGAGGCTGAAAAAAGTTCCTTCATTCTTTCTCTTACATTTAGGTACAAATGTTGTACAAATGTTACATAGAGGTGTATAACCTCTGTATAATAAAACTATATGAGATGTATGTACTAATTGTAATATTAATGGTCAGCAGAGGCTGGTGAAGAGAAAATATTATGAGAAGGTGCAAATGTAATAATATTGTGCAAAAATGTATACACACTGTTTTGGTTATTTCTTCTTGTTTCTTCTGGTAACTCATGGGCTTTAGTGGCATATGGGTGAGGTTGATGACTCCACAAGTGCACACTTTTCTACTGAAAATGTGAGTGACTGTAACCAGAAGATGTAAAAGGAAATTTTGTTTTCCCTAGAAAATAAGATAGTGTGTTCTACTCAGAGTTATTCTTCTAAACATTCAGAATACTTTATCGAGTTATCATCATAGTCTCGTTCTTTCTCTAAATTGTAGAATACTAAAATATCTTTTATGTTACTACTCAAAGCCAGCTATTCCTGCACATACCTTGTGAATAATTAAATCAGCATTTCTTTATTTTTTTTCACCCATTATGCTATGCTATATATCTAGTATTTATTTGCTCTCCCTTTCTTCCTTTTCCTCTGTGCATACACATACAGGTATGCATTTTAAGCTAGCCTTGGGTTAGCTGGAGCATGGATGTAAACAAAAGGACACATCCAGGGACAGTCTGGACATCACATACATGACTTGGAGAGTTCTGGCTTGTTCATTTTCTTGCCATCACTACTGAAGATGCCTATTAAATGGGTCCTAAGTTGCTCCTTGGCCCAGTGCCACATGTAACATGCCTTTGTTGGTCTGTCAAAGGTTGTCTTGGCCACAGTGTGTAGTTGAGAAAATTCTTCCATGTCCCCTCTAAGAGGATAAAAGCCATAATTCTTTAAACTGAACTACTTTTTTAAAATACTTTTTGTTAAGATCCCCTTCTTTTTATATTACATCCAAATGTGTGCTTCATACTTATATATAATTTACTTGGAAATACTGCAAGAATTCACATCAAAATTAACTCTTGAAGGAAATTAAGTGTTGCAGGGAACATTTTCCTTTGTTTACCCAGTCCCTATGATGTTTCCTCATATGAGCTCAAATGAGCAAATAACTTTAAGATATAAAGCCTGGAAGTGCTATGTTCTTATTCATAACTTTGAGAAGAACATTGTGTTCTTCTGCAAAGCTCTAATTTCCCCAGTTCTTTAATCACAAATGTGCTTATTGGTGTAAATATCTTCCCTCTAAAACCAATAGCAATATTTCCACTGAATTCCACAGTGTGAATCAAAAATTATCCTCATGCTTTCTTAAAAAAAAAAAAAGATAAATGCATAGCAGTTGCTTTTTCATTTGTTAATGGAGGGGGTTTTTTGTGTTTTTTCTTCTCTGTTAGAAGCTAAAAAAAAAATTGCTGGTGTTGGACTCGTGATACATTCCAACCTTATCTTACTCCTAGTAAGAAATTTACATTTATCATTAATTTGGAGGATTTAGTTGCATCTGTCTAAAATACACTTGTCAGTCAAGTTTTTAATAAAATGAGCAAGAAAATTTGTTAAGAATAATAAGAATTCACTAGAAGTGGTACTTATATATGAAGTCTCTAAATTAAGTCATGTAATAGCTGGAGTCATAATTTGTCACTGAAAATTGGGAACAACGTTGATTATTACAAAATAACACCAGTTTGGAGAGCATTTTACTAGATAAAGTTCTATAGAAATATCACATTCAGAAAAGGAAATTAAGCCTCAGGTAAAATCTTATTTTTCAAAGAGTTCTTTAGACTTCTTAATACTTCTTCCCTGACACAAAAGAATAATACATTCAAGTGTTAACGAAACTTCTATTTGGGTTTTTGTTGTTTTGTTTTTTTTTTGGTAATTTTTCAAAGATTTCATGTTTCTGTAAGAAAGATTTCCTATTTATACAAGAAATATATTTGATGGGTACATTTTCATAATCCTCACTTTTTCTAATTTGTAGTAAAATAGGGTGACTAAAATGTCAGGGAAGTTATAAAAACACAAGATTAGACAAAATGCAAATTGAATGTAATTTTAAATTTCAATATAAGTCTGCTTCTGTCAGTGTGTACATTTTGCCACTTACATTCTTTCCACATATAAATAACATAAATTTTGTAAGAATTACCTATGATGGAAGAGGGAATGATTAAATGATTGAACTTTTATTACACTAGAAAATTTCCATTGAATTGTATTCCTATTGAAATTTTCAGTATATTTTTTCCAGAAATAAACAAATAAAACTTGGTTATCCTTGAAAGATATAACATCAGCGTGACCTTGATTTTTTATACTTTTTGAAATCAGAGCTCTACTTTTTTTAAACAACATGAGACAGTAGAAAGGCAAAACATCAAGAAGAACAAAATAAGTAAACTGGAGATTTGCTCAATCAGTGGATCATATGTAAATCATGCTCATTTGGCCCAAAGAATTAATCGACATTAACAAACCAGTAAAATTATGTACCAAAGAAACAAAATCACACTCATGATATTAAAAAACCTACATTATACTGTGACTTATATACAAGTGCATTCTTAACAGCTTCAATACAACTCAAAAAAGAATTAAAAAAATATATAACGCAGTTGGTGTATCTCATCAAATTGTAGTTAAAAAGTTAATTTATAAATGGAAAAAAGAAGAAAAATCACATATGACATGGTATTAATCTGAGGGTTAAATGTTTGTTTTCTATACAGTGAGTAAGACAATTTTTAAAAAAATATTTTGAACCGTAATAAATCACAGTCAATGAAACAAGAACTTGTTTCTTACATGCTAGTGAAATATCTAAAAAAAAAAGTTGCCTTCATTAACTAAAGAATATTTTCATTTTTGCCTATTACATGACAGAAGAGGTTGAAAGGTGGGTTTGGTTTGATATGAACATTTATGCCACAATAGCAGTTAATACAGACGTAGAACAGAAGGAACACCCAATCTGTGAAAGGGCACTGAGACTTTTCTAGTTGTGATATTGAAAAAGAAGAAATCACTCCATTGAATCAAATGGAGCTTTGGCAATTTATGGCAGATGAAGATTTTTCACAGTGATTCTTCCTTTCATGTATTTATGAGATATAATTTTTCTTTTTTTTTTTTTTTCAATCTACTTACTATTAATGAAGAATAGAATTGCTTATATTTTGTGCTTGGAAACAATAGAAGCAAATAATTGAAAATTCTCAACATCCCATAGTACTGCAATTCTAAGAGCAGTTTTTCCTTCTATTTCACCTGTGAGAGACAATTTTAGCAAGGAATGTGTAGCTCATTGTTCTGTATTAGTCTATGAAACAACATGAATGACAACATGCGTGGCTTTTTACAAAGATCTGGGTTTTTTCTTCCACTTTCATGGTGCAAAGTCTCTCTGGTCAGATATATAAGAACTTTGCCACATGTTACTTCTCTTCAATTAGCATCTGATTTGGGGTATTTTGCATTGTTACATGGCAATTCTGCTATATTTTACCTGGCACCATCATGATATTGTAATGGAGGTTTTTTATCTGGTAGGGTTATGTTTCTCTTTTTTCTTTGTTTTTTATTTTTTTGTTAAGAGGGCTGTTTTACAAGCCATGGTTTCAGTGCTATTTCAGCAACTTTTCAGTGAATTTTCACCCTTCAGAATCATTTTGTTTCAGGAATAAAACACATCATCTCTTCTCCAAGCACTCCAAGCCCTACAATTGCCTTGGTATTTGGCTACAAATTAGGCTTCCAGCAAAATATAAAACCACAGCAGGAAACAAACAAATATCATGGGTTTTATCATATCAAACAATAGATATCTGCTAAATAACCATCCATTCTCCAAGCAACCTGTGTTGAGGGTAGGAGATAAATATTTGCATCTGAATGGAAGTTATTGCTCTGTTTGTTCTCCAGTCCTTCTCTCCAAGTTTCAGGTCTTACAGTCCTGCCCCAGAGCAGAGCCTTTCCTAATAAAATACTCATACTCTTCTTTGTAGGGACACATATATTCTACTTGACTCTTTGCTACAGATTGCTCCTGCAGACTTCACAGAATCACAGGGTCATAGAAAGGGTGAAGTTAATTTGGCTTGGTTAACCTGGCACCTCCATTCTTTAAAGCAAGAACAAAAGTTTCATGTTAGTATTTCCCCTTTTCTATCCTATTGAGAAGATTTTCCTTTGGAAACATATTGGAATTAATTTCTTTTTGGGACCTACAAGATGTTTTAAAATATCATGTCTCCTGGATTTATTAAACTTTTGAAAGGAGAAAGAAGAAACCCTACCCTGCTTGCCTTCAGGGTCATATGCTTTGTAGTAGAGTACAGAGAAGCATAGGCAGGAAAAGCAGGTAGAAAAATTTGTTTGTTTCTGTAGAAATCTCTTTCAGTTTTCTTCACACAGACTTTTCCTTCATCTTCCCCAGAAGAAGGGATATCAAGCTACTTTACTTGTAGGTGCTAAATAATGACATTTTTACACTGTACTTTGAGACAGACACCACCTGATAGCTGACTGAAAAAATACAACCCAAACAAACAAACAAAAAAACCCAAAAAACCAAAATAAACAAAAACCAAAATTCAAACACTAAAAAAGTGATAGGAATGAAAAAACCATCAATTTCAATGTATTAGTATTCATCACTTTTCTCAGTCATGTGCTACAGATATTTCAGGATTCGCTCCATTACCTGTAAAGGATTTCTCTCTTTCCTCTCCAAAGCTTGTTTTAGAGTCTCTGAAGGAAACTGATGACCATTTTTCTCTCAAAGAGTTTTTTTAATCACCTGAACAAATAAATTCAACACTATGTTACCATGATGCTAATTTTTACTAAGGCCAGGTTTATTGGCAGATAGAATTTGGGAAAGCAGTATCTTGACCTATAGTTCTCAAATTTTGTTCTATGCTTTTTCCTTAAGAATTTACAGTATTTTCTTATAACACTTCCTTTGTTACTACTAGAGTCTCCTATAAGTCAGAGATCTATTAGCTGTAATTTCTAGCATGGAACTGAGTTTTCTTGGACCATTAAAACTTGCATTTTAAGATAAGGCAAATGAAGGAAAGCCATGCCATCTAACCTAGTTATTAAACTGTATAATTTTTAATCCCCAAAGAGCCCATTGTCCTTATTAAAAGACTTAGATAAAGTTATGATAATTGTGAAAGAAACAAATAAAAGGATTTCTGTATCTACTGCATGCTATTCATTTTCTCCCCCTCAAATAATTCAAATTAGCCATACCAACTACAAGTTTTGGTCTCACATGCTGTGTTACATTCTGAAATTTGCTAAATTGGTGCAATGCCCTGACAATAATAGCTGGGCAGATCGGTTGTGATGGTAAAATAAGAACAGGAACAAGAGATTCATGCTTTTA